CCCCCTGCTCTCTGCTCTGGAGACCCAAAAAGAGCTCAGTTTCGGCGGCACAGGACAGAGTGTTATCTGCAGTCAGAGGCCTTGGCCCGGAATGTTTGAAGTGCCTTTGTGCCGCCCTCTCTCAGTTCCCAGTGAATGCATTTCTATCGCTTTTAGATTTGAGCACAGATGGGGTGAGACTGTGTCATCAAAATTCCTCTCCCGCTCAGTAAGCAAGCAGGATTCAGAGGAGCATTACAGGACTTTTGTCGCTTTGCCCAAGCGTGGCACATCTGCACCTTTCCCCCCCCTCTTTCTAGCATTCCTGAGGTTCTTTCTAAAAAAAGAAGCAGCATTTGAGTTGTGGTACGCACTGTTCCCTCTAAGCTGAGTTACTGTGAGCTAGCTCACAGTTTTTTAGCCCTCCGGCTCACACCTTTTTGTCTCAGCTCAGGAAGGACGGCTCCAGAGCAGACTAATCTATACAACAGCCCAATCGCTCGCTCACAACTTTAATGTCAGTAGCTCCACAAAGTAGAATTTTTTCTCGCAAGACTCCACAGCTTAGAGGGAGCATTGGTACGTAACCACCTTGGTGGTTTGCATTGTAGAAAAGGTTAGGGGCTGCTCTCTGTCGAATGTTTCTGACTTCAAGCAAGCCACCGATTTGAACGACAGCCTTGCCTTCTGACCGAGGCACGCACCTATAAATTGCAGAAGGATAACATCGGAGCCCTTCTGTGGAGGTAACTGCCCTTTCCCCTCGGTGGCCAAATTAACCCCAAAACAAGCTTCAAAGGCAAATGGCTTGATTACTTCCCATCCTGGATCTCCCCCCCCCCTAAAAACAAGTCCCACTTTCTTGGGAATTGCATTCCCGCCTGCTGAAATCACCACACCTTGCCCCAAGCGCATCGGTGAGCACGAACACAAAAGCCATCTGTACTTACACAGAGATAGCAGATGCACTCTCCTGTGTTTGTCTTGGGAGTGGCGACTGCAAGTGCTCCTCGAGCGTTCAGGAAGTCAGAACCTTCTTGTGTGCGTTTCAAGTGCTGACTGGGACAGGTGGTGGAAAGGCCCTACGGGAAAGAAAGTTAGCCGCTTGAGGTTCCGTTTTGGACACATCCTCCAGGTGGGTTCTGTTTTGTGTCCCTCCCCCTTTCCATTGTTAGGAGAGGGACGGTGTTTTTTTGCCTTTGCAATATCGCTCGGGAGTGCAAACAGAAGATAAGGGCAAAAAAAAAACCAACCACCCAGAAAAAGAGAGCCCACTTGCTTCTGATGAATGGAGGTTCATTTGGCAACTCTTCCCTGGTTAGCACTTGGATGGCAGACCAACAAGGAAGCGTCCAGGGTCGTGACGCGGAGGCAGGCAAAGGTGAAACCACCTCTGAAGGTCTCTTGCCTTGAAAACCAGACACCGTCGGTCGCCCTAAGCCGGCTGCCACTCGACAGCGCTTCACAAACATGCTCTCCCGCCTGTCAGAAGTATTAGCAGGTCACGTTTGAAACTCTTCCACCCATTCATAAGTTTACTTACTTTTTACCATCTTTCCCCCCCTTTCCTCCCAAGAAGTTTCTTTCAAGTCACGTGACAGTCACACCTGGGCTCATTTGGTCTCGGCGTCCTCCCGGCCATCCACAAATTCCGTGCAGAGGGGTTTTTTGTTAAAGGGCCGCCCGGAGCTGCTCCTCCCTCTCTCTGTGGGTGGCGTGTGTGTGTGTGTGGGGGGGGAGGTGACAATACCGTCTCTGCATGCCGTATGAACAGCTGCAGGGTGTGGGAATAAATCTGGCCTGATTTCTTTGTACGGCTTGGGCCGCGAAGCACCTGTTGTCTCCCTCCTCATGTCTCCCTGCGGTGTCCCTCCGCATGCACGAGTGCCGTGCAGGTTTCGGCACTTCCGTCATAAGGAGTCCCTGCATAGCTTTTCACTCCTGTCCTTTCTCCATGGATGGGCTGTTGTTCAGCGGCACTCGTGTGCTCCCACAGGCTTGAGGATATAGTAAACGAGAAGCCAGAATTGGGGGGGGGAGGGGTGCCCCTTGTCTTGGTAGGATAACACATACCGCAACAGATAGTACGTACTATATCCAGCAGTGTAGTCCACACAGTCCCTGTCCCATTATAAAAGCATCTCTCTCAACCATTCCATTCCAGTAAAAGCCCTCTGTAAAAATGCCCTCCTAAATTAGACAGTTTTGCATTGTTTGTGGGATGCCAGAAGAGCGGGTGCCTTCCTGACCTCTCCTCTGACAGGACATTTCATATGGTGGTGGCCACAAGACAGAATGGGTGTGTACTGGATTTCCTGGAAATTGGGGACAGCATCTGTATGTGTTCATTTGCATCTGGGGTAGTAAAAAGGTAAAGGTAAAGGTCTCCCTTGCTCAAAAGCCAGTCGAATCCGACTCTAGGGTTGCGGTGCTCATCTCCGTTTCCAAGCCGAAGAGCCAGCGCTGTCTGAGGACGTTTCCGTGGTCATGTGGCCGGCATGACTAAACACCAAGGCGCACGGAACGCTGTTACCTTCCCACAAACGAGAAGCCAGAATTGGGGGGGGGAGGGGTGCCCCTTGTCTTGGTAGGATAACACATACCGCAACAGATAGTACGTACTATATCCAGCAGTGTAGTCCACACAGTCCCTGTCCCATTATAAAAGCATCTCTCTCAACCATTCCATTCCAGTAAAAGCCCTCTGTAAAAATGCCCTCCTAAATTAGACAGTTTTGCATTGTTTGTGGGATGCCAGAAGAGCGGGTGCCTTCCTGACCTCTCCTCTGACAGGACATTTCATATGGTGGTGGCCCCAAGACAGAATGGGTGTGTACTGGATTTCCTGGAAATTGGGGACAGCATCTGTATGTGTTCATTTGCATCTGGGGTAGTAAAAAGGTAAAGGTAAAGGTCTCCCTTGCTCAAAAGCCAGTCGAATCCGACTCTAGGGTTGCGGTGCTCATCTCCGTTTCCAAGCCGAAGAGCCAGCGCTGTCTGAGGACGTTTCCATGGTCATGTGGCCGGCATGACTAAACACCAAGGCGCACGGAACGCTGTTACCTTCCCACCGAAGTGGTACCTATTTATCTACTTCCAATTTCTTGCTTTCAAACTGCTCGGTTGGCAGAAGCTGGAACTAGAGACGGGAGCTCACTCCGTCATGCGGCATCTGGGTCTCGAACTGCTGAACTACCGACCTTCCACAGCCTGCAGTTCAGCGTCTTAACCACTTGAGCCAACGCAGCTCCTATCTGGGGTAGTACTTTGGCACAAACTTCCAAATTCTGTTAGGAACCTGTCTGCAAAGCCCTGATGGACCTCTGCTCCATATGCTTATCTAATTCCCTCTTGAAGCCGTCCATGCTTGTAGCCGCCGCCACCTCGTGTGGCAGTGAATTCCATGTGTTAATCACTCTTTGGGTGATGAAGTACTTCCTTTTATCTGTTCTAACCCGACCGCTCAGCAATTTCATGGAGTGCCTACAAGGAGTTCTTGTATAGTGAGAAAGGGAGAAAAGGAGACTTCTTCCTCGACCTGCTCTGTCCCTTGCATAATCTTATGAACCTCGATCATGTCACCCCTCAGCCGTCGTTTCTCCAAGCTAAAGAGCCCCAAGCGCTTTAAACTTTCTTCATAGGGGAAGTTTTCCAACCCTTTTATCATTCCAGTATCATTTTATCACTTTATCATTCTATCCTCCTTTACACTGTAGAGCTGTGAGAAAGTCTTCCACTATATAACATGCTTGTGCCTCCCACCCCTCCACCCTACCTGCAGTATGAATCATTTGGACGTGCAGGTATGTAGGGATGAATGTTCCGAGACCGTTATAACCCTAAACCTAGATCAGCCTAGACCAAAGTTGAATAGTGTTCTCTTGCTTTCTTTTAAGGAGTCTCTCTCCCCCCCTCCTCCCTTGTCTGCAGGAGCAAGATTGCTTCTGGTGAAATGAGGAGGCCTAGTCCGTTTTGAGCTGCAGAAACCTTTCCCATGTCCCTGTTTATTTCAGCTAAGGCGAATGGAACTTTCCCGTGGGGTTCTCTCTGTTCACTGGACGCAGCCCTTTGGGAGAGAGGTGATGAATGGAGCTCGGTGAACCTCGACTCTGTCCTCTGTTGTTCCAAGCAGGGAAGAGGAAGGCTCAAATTATCCTTTGCTGATGTCGGCAGAGGCAAAGGAGTACATCAGTAAACGCCACTGGTTCCGTCTAGCGCTAAGTCGGAAGTCAACAGCGCTTTCTGGACGTGATTCAACACACGGCCATAGCCCACTGCCAGCCTGTTTGCTCTTATTGTGGGTTTCCACCGTGCAAGGAGATGTGGATGCGCGCGTGATCCCAGCTCCTATGCAGGCTGTGTGCCATAAACGCAGGGTTCTTCTTTGTGGGCTTTTTATGCCACACCGATGAGTGTTGTGCCTGAGCAGAGCACTGATTTGGAGCTTCCAGAGCAGAGCCCCCCCCCCCCCAAGTCTTTTTGAGCCTGAGGGCACTTCTGGAATTCTGAGGGGTGGTGGTGATGAGCGCCACCCCAAAAACGGTTTCCATAGGAGGTGGAGCCAAACAGATGGCTTCCATTGGAGGCGGAGCCAAGTGGAATACTCTCCGCCCTCTCACCTGGGAGGAAAGAAAGCCTGGAGGGGAAATGGAATCATACACTGACTAAGGGAAAGCCCGGGCGCTTACAGGCCCTCCCGATCGCCCGATGGAAAACGCCTTCACTTGAACGAAGGTAGCCAATAACAAGCCCTGCCTTACAGTGGCCCCACCCACTTCCCAAAAAGCTCGGTGGGTGCCAAGTAAAGTGCTGGCACACACCGTGGCACTCACGGGCACCTCGTTGGGGAACCCTGTTCTACAGTTCCGTAGGCTTGCGCTTCCTTTCATGCTTGTGGTTCAACATGAAACTTCACTGCCGAGTTTGGTGATACCTTGGCTTACATTTTTTTCTTCTTTTACAGAAACCGTTCTCTGTGATGCCGACCGTCCATGACAGCGGAGCTGGATATAGCTAATCAGGTGCTGCCGTGGTTGCAACTTCCAACATGAGCAATCCTCAGTAAGTGCTGATTAGAGGAAGCTGCGGACCTAGGTTTTTGGTGCTGTGTGAGCAAACCTGTCTGCAAAATGTCCTTTTACATGGGTCTTCTACAGCTGTGTGAGAGCTTCCCAGTTCAAGCAATGCTCTTGGGAGCCAGTGTGTGCTCTAGTGCTTAAGAGTGGCGGACTCTCATCTGGAGATCTGTGTTTGGTTCCCCACTCCTTCACATGAAGCCTGTTGGGTGACCTTGGGCCAGTCACGGTTCTCTCAGAACTCTCTCAGCCCCACCTATCTCACAGGGTGCTTGTTGTGGGGAGAGGGAGGGGAACGGGATTGTAAGCCGCTCTGAGACACCTAAAGATAGGGAAAAGCTGGCTATTAACCACCACCCCCCTACTATTCTTCAGCAAGCTGAGTCTGTGAATAAAAATTGTGAAATACATGTTCTAGTCATTGAAATACTATGCACTGTTTTGTTTGTTCATCATTTTGGCCTGGAAGCTGGGGGAAAATTATTTAATTATAAATCATGAAATAAATTTCAGACCTTCCTATTTTTGTTCCCTCGCCTGCTGACATGCATATATTGTCAGCAGTGTTTCTATGAAGTCAGGGGTCATTTCCTACAGGAGCGCGCAGGAACGGAGCTCCGGCAGTAAAGAGCCCAGGGGGCGGGCACATGCAACAAGCCCCACCCCCAGCTCCCAGCAGCCCTCAGTCAGAGCAAGAAGCAGCCAGGTAAGCTGCAGAGTCCCTCCCCAGCCCCCGGTCCAAAACAGTCCAGTGGCACCTTTAAGACCCAGTTTTATTCAGGTACAAGCCCACCACCCCCCTACTATTCTTCAGCAAGCTGAGTCTGTGAATAAAAATTGTGAAATACATGTTCTAGTCATTGAAATACTATGCACTGTTTTGTTTGTTCATCATTTTGGCCTGGAAGCTGGGGGAAAAATTATTTAATTATAAATCATGAAATAAATTTCAGACCTTCCTATTTTCGTTCCCTTGCCTGCTGACATGCATATATTGTAAATTACCCCTGTATGAAGTTACCTGCTTCCCACAGTGGCCATTCTCACAATATACCGGGTTAAGTTTCACATAGAGTGTTCCGAAAACGTGTGTTCTGGTTGCCTTTTTTCCTTTCTGGGTCTTTGTTCTCTGTCTTTGCTTCAGACGCTCCTGCCACATACAGGGGTCTGCCGTTGATGACTCCAGAGCTGGATGCAGCTCTTTAGAAAAAGAAAATCAAAGCTTTAAGTTAAGGAGAGGAGGTGGGATGCAAGAGCACGCCAGTACAGGAAGGGAATGGCAGGCAAAGGTTTTTATTGGACGAAAGAACAAAGTTAGAGTCCAATGGCACCTTTAAAACCATCAAAGTTTTATTCAAGGTGTGAACTTTCATGTGCACGCACACTTCATCAGACAATGAAATGGAATTACATATCATAGCAGGGGTCATTTCGTAGAAAAAGAGGTGCATGAGCTCATTAGCATGACTCATTAGCATGACTTATTTGCATATGCCACATCCCCTGACATCACTGGAAGTGTGTCAGAAGGCAACACCAACTGCTCAGGCTCCACTGGACTCTTGGATTGCTAGCTATTGGGTGGGGGGACGTGCAGATCTGTCCTTGCAGAGGAGGGAGAGCTTGTACCTGAATAAAACTTGGTCTTAAAGGTGCCACTGGACTGTTTTGGACTGGGGGGCGGGGGGGGGAGCTCTACAACTTATGGGGCTGCTTCTTGCTCTGACTGAGGACTGCTGGGAGCAGGGGGTAGGGCTTGTTGCATGTGCCCGCCCCCTGGACTTTTTACTGCCGGAGCTCCGCTCCTGTGCGCTCCTGCAGAAAATGACCCATGGTTGTATGTATAGGAGTGGCTTGTTACATTAGCATGCAAAATAGTGAGGACACTTTTTTTTTAACAGATCAAAAGAATGACAAGTTAGTTCCTGGTTATCAACTGTTTTGTAATAAATATGTCAGAACTGGGGATTGATGTGCCCTGATTTGTGAGAATCCCATCCTTTAGACCCCATCTGTCTCTTTTCAAGCAGGGAGGTTAATTTTACAGCATCTTGGCTGTGCAGAGTCTTTTCCTTCTCCCCAAAACAAAGAACTGCATTTAAATCTACCATTCCAAATAACATTACATATTCAGTGTAATGAATATGTTCTTAATTGCTAAGAGTAGTAATAACATTTTGCTTCAATAAAACATGGAGTTAACTGACAGAATCCTTTCCCCCAGGGTACAGTGTTACGTCAGAGATCAACAAGATAATTGCATTGCATTACAATCACTATTATAATATATTGTCTCAAAAAGAAAAGAAAAGAAAAACATCAAAATATAGGGGATGTATGGCCCTTCTTGGTGAGAATACATATGTGAGGATCGAATGAGTTAGCATGTGTAATGGGCTAAGAAACCAATATCCCTCTAACTAATATCTAACTTTGTTTTATTGCTTCAAACCAACACGGCTACCCATATTGGACGAAAGAGTTTCTCGCCCTGATCTGAAGAGCCCAGGCTTGTTCTTATCAGGTCTCAACAGGCTAAGCAGGGTCAGCTGTGATTATTACTTGGGTGGGAGGCAGTGTTCTCTCTAAGCTGAGTTGGTGTGAGCTAGCTCACAGTTTTTTAGCCTCTGGCTCACACACTTTTGCCTTAGCTCAGGAAGGATGGCTCCAGAGCAAACTAATTTATGCAGTAGCCAGATCACTCACTCACAACTTTAATGCCGGTAGCTCACAAAGTAGAATTTTTGCTCACAAGACTCCACACCTTAGAGGGAACATTGGTGGGAGGCCACCAAGGAAATCTGGGGTTGCTGTACAGAGGCAGGCAATGGCAAACCACCTCTGAACATCTCTCCCCTTGGAAACCCCAAGGGTGTGACTTGATGGCATTTTACGCCACCAAAGGGGTTTCTTACAGGGGCTTCACAGGAAGGGTAATGATAAAGGTGAACAGTTACCAGCACTCTCAAGTGTGCACCATGGGCAGGTTTGTGCCATTGGGCTGGAACAGGCATGCAGGGTGCTCCTGGGTATATTTAGAAGAGAAAAAGAAGAAGAGATTGGATTTATACCCCGCCCTTCACAACCCAAAGGTGTCTCAGAGCGGCTTACAAACTCCCTTCCCTTCCCCTCCCCACAACAGACACCCTGTGAGATGGGTGGGGCTGAGAGAGCTCTGACAGAAACTGCTCTTTTTCAAGAACAGCTGTGCCAGAATTATGGCTTGCCCAAGGTCATTGAGCCAGGTGCAAGTGGAGGAGTGGGGAATCAAACCCGTTTCTCCCAGATTAGAGTCCGCGCACTAAACCACTACACCAAACTGGCTTTATGCTTAACTGTGAGATCTCTGTTTGCCACTTCCAAAGAAAGGACTCAGAACCAATGCTCCCTCTAAGCTGTGGAGTCTTGTGAGCAGAAATTCTACTTTGTGAGCTTACTGGCATTAAAGTTCTCAGCGGGGGATTTGGCTACTGCATCAATGAGTCTGCTCTGGAGCCCTCCTTCCTGAGCTGAGGCAAAAATGTGTGAGCCGGAGGCTAAACAACTGTGAGCTAGCTCACACTAACTCAGCTTAGAAGGAACACTGCTCAGAACTGCCAGTGTTTGGGCTATGGAAAGCCCTATGGGGTCGCCGTAAGTGAGCTGCAACTTGATGGCACTTCCAACCACCAAATGATCAGTAACGCTAAGCTGTATAGTTCCATTTATGCAAACGGGCTTTCTTACACTAAGAACATAAGAGACGCCAATGTTGGATCAGGCCAGAGGCCCATCCAGTCCAACACTCTGTGTCACACAGTGGCCAGAAATACCAGGTGCCATCAGGAGGTCCACCAGTGGGGCCAGGACATTAGAAGCCCTCCCACTGGGTTTTTTTTTTAATATAACACAATTTTTATTATTTGGATATATTAGCAAACAACATTACATTTTGTATACTTTCATCCCCCCCCCATATATCCCTTTCTTCCACTCCTTCCCCCCTTTTTCCTGGCCTCCCGCAATGCTCCACCCTCTCGAATAATACAGTATAAACTTTATAAAC